TGATGCCGTGCTGCTGGAGCAATCGCTGAATGATGCTGCCCAAGGCTTCTGCTCGGCACCGTTGACCCAGGCACAGCTCCTACGAGAACTACGAGGAGAACCATTCCGCCTCATCCCCCGATGTGTGATTGTTCAATCCTCGGGCAAAAAGCGGATCATTGACAATGGAGATACAGGAGGCCAGTCGGAGAGGTCGTCGGATTGGAACAAATTGGTGCTATGCTCGCCGTTGCGCCCAGCGCAACATGTGGGGGCAGTTGCCTCACTGTTGACAGATGAACAGTGGCACACCCTTACGACTGCTGACGAGTGGCAGTCAGGAGGGGAAGATTGGTGGCCGAACGCGTATCGGCATTCCCCTATCAGTCAGGCAGAGAGCCGCGGCTGTATCGTCTGCTTCTGGCATGCTGAGCGGGGGGAACCCGCCTTTCAGGTGTATTCATCCCTCCTCTTCGGCCTTCCGCTCGCGGTTACATCGTTCAATCGGTATTCACGCCTCATTGAAGCACTGGGCCGACGGCTTACATACAGTCTGGTGTCACTCTATTTCGATGACGCCCACATCGCGGACCTCCAGTCAGGCCTCGGCTCTAGCCAACAAGCTTTCTGTCAGTTGAACACCTTATTAGGTACTCCGTTTGCCGAGGAGAAGAAACAGTTGATGCAGCCTACCGGCACCTTTCTGGGCCTTGATCACGACTTTACGAACCTCAGTCGGGGCTTCGTGACGTTTTGGGCCCGCGATCGCTTGATTCAGAAGACAGCTGCGATGATTACCGAGGCACAGACACACAGCAGCCTGTCCTCAGGCCAGGCATCCAAGCTCTACGGCGTGCTCAACTTTCTCGAGCAGGGCATGTACGGTAGGTTGGGATGCGCAGGTCTGGCAGCCATTAAAGCACGCCAGACAGAGCGCAACCGTGACCTCACTCCAGAGCTGCATCGCAACTTCGATCTAATTCACTCCATCCTTCGCCACCGACCTTGTCGAGAACTTCCCGTGAGACCGTCCGAATGTTTGCGGTTTGTTGTAGCCTCTGACGCAGCTTTGGAGGAACCGAAGCAAGGCACCGGGGGATTTTTAATTGTCTGGCACGATCCGGTGGGACCGGTTCGGGAAGCCTTCATCGCCAACATTTCTCCGGAAGTGTACCAGCTGTGGGAGCCTGGCGATAGGCAGATAGCCCAGTTGGAAATGGTGATGATCATTTATGCCCTCACATATCGGGCGCAGGCCTTTCGAGGTCGTCGAGGCATCTGGCTGATCGACAACGTCGCTAGCCTCATGTGTCTGATTCGGGGCCGTTCCCAGTCACCCGATCTGGAACGCATGTGTGGTTTGATTCATGTCATGCTGTACGCTTTGCGTACCTGGATGTATTGGGAATACATTCCGTCTAAGAGTAATTGGGCCGACGCCATTTCAAGACTAGGCTGGTCCGATCCGTGGTGGCGAACCAACGGATTCACCCCTTTTTCCGTCTCTTGCCCTCTCTGCCTTTGGCACCTTCCGCTGCCCGCAGTGATCCGAGTCGTAGAATTTCTCTAAGTGCGTTGGGAGGATTTGAAGTGCATTGGGAGTGGTTTCCGGAGTGACCGGAAGGATACCACAAGGGTCTGATTGTGTCAGGCCTGCTGATGCAGGTAACCCAACGCAATTATCCTGCTGGACATGGCAGGTTGAAGACCATACTGGCAAGATGACTGAGGAAAAAGGGATTGTGTGCGGACCACCGTAGCTACGAGAGTCAACCTTGGAAAGAAATGTAAACATGTTTCAGGTCTGGCAGGCTTGGGTGAACATGTAGTCATTACTGCCATAGGTTTGAACCAACGAATGTTTTGGCTCAAGTGACTTGGCCAAAATAGCGTTTGTTCTCTCTTTTTCCCACCCAGCCCACCCTGGTGTAAGGGCCCCCGGTGGGGTCACTCTTACCCTTGAAGGGCTAGCCGGCTAGCCTGGGGCTTGCGCAGGGATCTGCGATCTGGCACAATCTAGCGGAGTGACCGCTTTCAGACCACCTTTAAAGTACCCCAGGGGGGGGGAGTGGTTTCCGGAGTGACCGGAAGGATACCACAAGGGTCTGATTGTGTCAGGCCTGCTGATGCAGGTAACCCAACGCAATTATCCTGCTGGACATGGCAGGTTGAAGACCATACTGGCAAGATGACTGAGGAAAAAGGGATTGTGTGCGGACCACCGTAGCTACGAGAGTCAACCTTGGAAAGAAATGAAAATAGAAAAAGTACGCAAAGTACGAAACCAACATTGCACTTTTTAAAGTACGAAAATATGACGTACGAAAAAAAACAAGAAATACAAAAGAAATATAAAATTCCAAAAAATAGGAAAATACAAAACATACAAAGCTACAAAATTAATACGAAAAATACGACCCGCCAACAAAAATACAAAAATGCGTCCCGCAAAAACACAAACAAAAACGCACCAAAACATACGACCCGCGAAAACAATACAAAAACCAACACAAAATGTTCCGAAACTGGTTGCGAAACCAAAATTTGCAATTTTTCGTTTTGCTTAGAGGCCGACGAGGGTGCTTGCTGAATTTGCGGCCCGACGGCCTTTGCTTTTTTATTTGCCCCAATGCAATCAGACAGCGAATTCGCGAACATGTTTCTTGACAGGGCATAAAAAGGACAACGTGACTAAACTACTCAATTGGCTGTGGTTGCTATGTGCATTGTGGCCCTTATTTGAGTATGATGAGTTCGGATGTAGAACAATGCAAAAAAGTTGCGTTTCCGGGTTGTATTTTTTGTGCTTTTGTTTTTTAAATAATTTTTGGGTTTCTTAGCCTCTACCTGGAAGGAGGGGATTCAACTCTAATTGTTACATGGATGACAGAACTGCTGTGGCCAAAAGCTTGGCGTCGCTTCAGCACTAAAACTCAGTTTTGGGTTAGAAACCCAAATGCAAGCGCGGAGTTTACAGCCAGTGGTATTGAAGCCACTTCAACAATCCAAGTCCTTGGGGTTAGTTTGGGAGCTTTTTTCTCAGGCCGAGAAAATCTGTCGCCGCATCCGCAACTTGCCGATCTCCATGTGTTTGAAGAAGGCTCTGGCGCAAGGTGTAGCCACCCGTAAGGTGGTCTGGGGCATGCTCTTGAACGGGCGACGTGATGCTACCATGTCTCGAGCTGGTGCTATCGTTGTCAGTGAACCATTGGTGGACTTGCCACAACTAAGTTGTACCGGAAGCGGAACAGTCCGCAGACTTGTTTCCGCAGACTTGTCCTTACGCTGATGGCTCGCGTAGGATCGGGTTCCCTGGCTCAGATGGGTCAGATTCGGGCAGAAGAAGCTGCCTGCGAGAAAGGAACCGACGCGGCGAGAATGCTGCTTTGCAAGAAGCTGCCGGGCCTGGCGATCCTGGTGGCGGTGACTAACCCCCGTCGGCGGGGACATGGCCGCCAGTGGCGCCTTACCCTGCAGCTGTAACCTCTACCCCTCTTACCGAGTCGGGGATGCGCTGGGGAATGTTTCGGCTCATGGGTTGCCATCTTTAAGCGTGCTTTGCGTGGACTTGTTTAGCCGACTCGTGAATGTTTGTTCGCGCGCGTTGCAGTTCAGTGAGTTGCAGTTGGTTTGAAACACTACCAACCCAATAGTGTCATAAAAGCTGGGAAGAGGTGGCGCGCAACACACAAAGATCAGGGACAAAAGGTTGCGCGGGTCAAAGAAAAAGGTCCTCTACAACATTTTGGTCCCCCAATCACAGTAGCATTTTTTTGTAGCACGCAAGGGCTTACAATCAGTTTCAACGCTGAGGTGGTTGTTGACACTTTCGCAGAGGTGAGGGAAAGTGATGTTATGAACTTGGCGGAAGAGATGGAACATGCTTCTGAGGCCGACAAAAAGTTCTTACAACGGATTTTCGACAGAATGGACGTAGAGCGAAAAGGCCTGCTTTCCTTCGACGACATTATGGCGGGTGCCCGCACTGATCCTGAATTCCAAAGTCGGCTTCGGGTCATGGACATTGATGAGGTTGATCTTCAGCAACTTTTTGAGATGATAGATGTAGATGGTTCTGGTGCTATAGAAGCAGAAGAGTTTATCGTGCCTTTGAGCCGCTGGGTGCGGGATTCCAAAACGGCACCTCGTTTCATCAAATACAACTTGATGCATGCCATCAATCAGCAGGAGGAATTGGTTGTGAAATTGGATCGGCATTTTCACATTTTGCACACACGCATGGGTGAGTTAGAAGAAAAACTCGACCAGAAAGATGCGAAACCTCAAGAAGGTTTGGGCCATTCGGACCTGGGAACAATGTTGAGCCCTTCACCCGCTTGGTCGTACAGAAGTGAGAATGAAGTTGTCGAGCAATGTCATCCATCCAAAAATCCTTTACGATCTTTGAAGACAGACTTGGCACTGAAGCCAGCAGTAGCTGCTTTGAACCAGTCCTTGTCAGAAGCGTTGAAACAGTCTGTGGCCAAAATGGAGGCCATTTTGCAACAAGAACTGGACAAACTTGTCCAAAGTCGAGAGATTTCACTGGTTCCCAGTGGTCCTAGCGCTCAAGAACTTGGTGCGTTCCAAAGATCCCAAGGATCTCGAGAATCTCCCACCACATCCGGCCCAGGAAAGACTGAAGCATGTGACATGCATCAGCCGGAGCCCCACAGACCCAGGGTGGCCAATGAGCAGAAACCTGAGTGGAGACTTTCGCAACGTCTACATTCGGTTTAGGAGCTTGAGCTGGCAAGATGGCGAACATATCCTGCTGGATTGAGCAACCCACGCAGGTGTCGGACTGTCCGTTGTTTCTATGCAGGAACATCCTGCTTAGTACCATTGCCAAAGGCGAATGGACGAACCCAACAATGCATGAAGACAAGCAAATACATTGTTTGTGCTTTAGTTTCTTTGAACGTGGAGACTACCTTTTTAAATGTGTATCTCTTGAAGGAATCGACTCTGAAGCATTCCTCTTCCAGACCCATGCTTTGCCAAAGTTCCCATTTTGTGAGGCCTCTTGACCTATGTGAATCAACTGAACCGAGACATTGAAGCGATCCAGCTCCTGAGCTCCGATGAATCGATGACACCGACGAAGCCGAAGCAGGCATAGGGATCGCAAAAATTAACCAATCCTAGTTTCTTTTTTCTAGCTTCTTGTTCCTACTAGTAAGGCACTTGTTACTAGAAGCGATGCACTTGTTACTAGTAGCTTCTATGTGTAATAAACAAATTAACAAATCAAAACACATAGTTAACTATATAATCAGCTGGTCCCCTGGTCTCTTGATCCCTGGGTCGCCTGGTCCTTTGGCCCTATTCGTTTCTTGGTCCCTTGGTCCTTGGTCTTTTGGTCCTGCAAAGAAGCGCTGGGTGAAATCCTGTCATAGCTTGCACGAATCCTTTGTTCTGCAAAGATTTCAAGCAACGGTATTGAACTCGCGCAACTGCTTTGCACTGTCTGAGGATTCAAAACAAGGAACTGGAGGCAACGATCAATGCCCGCAGCCCTGAGGCACATGAAGCGGACCTCAGGTTGACAGGCGTCTTCAAGTGTCTTCCACAATTTAAGGGGCTGTGAGGTGATTCCTTTTAATCGCCCTGTGGGAGGGGGATGACGCGGAAACCAGGATAAGGTTTTAGAGTTAGATGAAATATGATGGAATGCCAGCTTGCGCTTCGAAGTAAACAGGCAATTGATTCTGTGCTTGGCAGTTTAAGTGGTGCCTCCCTGTGGTTTGACCATTCACTCACACTTCTTCCCGCATGCAGGGCATCGCGGAAGCAGAGAAGTCCAAGGTGCATGTCGTTTGTCGGCCAGCATTTTCCGACAAGGAGGTTTTTGCTGTGTTCTCCTTAAAGAGCTCTCATGTGAGAGACCTTTGCTTGTCGTAGAGGGCTGAAACTGTAGGGTCTTGCTTCTCTCAGCACCAGGCCCTGCTACTTGGGGTCTGTGCCTATGCTGGGGTACTTCTCAACCAAACTTTCGTTTGAACTATTTTGCACACGTCGTCGTGTTGTTGATCACGTGTGCAGGCTGCTGGACAAGAGAAAGAATCCAGAGCAACTGGGTTCAGATATGCAGCGTTGTTTTGGCACTTTGCCATGGAGCAGATTGGTGTGTGTATCAGAATTGAAGACACACCAGCGTGGAAGTCATTTACTTTCTTGATCTATTCAGACAAGTGATAACCAAAACCGTTGGATGGCTGTGCTGGCCTCGGAAAGGGCTTATCATCATTTGCATTCATTGCTGTGTGTTGTTGGTTGAAGGAGAACTGAGGGAGACGCATCAAAATTAGCCCAGCTGGAGACCCCAATAGCAAAATACAAACCGGGACAAAAAGAAAAATCTGGAAACAGCTGCTGTTTTCAACACATCGACCATCTCTTCCTTGGACACCATCATCACATAACCGGGACACCATCACAAAATGACCAGGGCACCATCAAAACATGAAGGAGACACCGTCACAACATGATTGGGACACCATCGCAACATAACCGGGACACCATCGCAAGGTGACCGGGACACCAGCATGACATGACGGGGACACCATCACAACATGACCGGGACACTATCACAAAATGACCGGGACACCGTCACATGACCCGGACACCATCAAAACATAACCGGCGCACCGCCAAAACATGACCAGGACACCATCACAACAGGACCGGGACACCATCAAAACATGACCGGGACACCGTCACAACATGAGCGAGACACCATCGCAACATGACTGGGACACCGTCACAACATGACTGGGACACAATCGCAACATGACCGGGACACCATCACAAGGTGACCGGGACACCAACATGACATGACGGGAAACCATCACAAGATGACCAGGACACCATCACAACATGACCGGGACACCGTCACATGACCCGGACACCATCAAAACATAACCGGCGCACCGCCAAAACATGACCAGGACACCATCACAACAGGACCGGGACACCATCAAAACATGACCGGGACACCGTCGCAACACGACCGGGACACCATCAAAACATGACCGGGACACCATCACAACATGACCGGGACACCATCAAAACATGACCGGGACACCATCAAAACAGGACCGGGACACCATCACAACATGACTGGGACACAATCAAAACATGATCGGGACACCATCACAACATGACCGCGCCACCATCACATGATCGGGACACCATCAAAACATGACCGGGACACCGTCACAACACGACCGGGGCACCATCAAAACATGACCGGGACACCATCACAACATGACCGGGACATCATGAAAACATGACCGGGACACCATCACAACATGACCGGGACACCATCAAAACATGACCGGGACACCATCAAAACACGACCGGGACACCATCACAACATGACTGGGACACAATCAAAACATGATCGGGACACCATCACAACATGACCGCGCCACCATCACATGATCGGGACACCATCAAAACATGACCGGGACACCGTCGCAACACGACCGGGACACCATCAAAACATGCCCGGGACACCATCGCAACATGACCGGGACACCATCACAACATGACTGGGACACCTTCAAAACATGACCGGGACACCATCAAAACATGACCGGGACACCATCAAAACATGACCGGGACACCATCAAAACATGACCGGGACACCATCAAAACAGGACCGGGACACCATCACAACATGATCGGGACACCGGGACACCAGCATCACATGACCCGGACGCCATCAAAACATGACCGGGACACCATCCGCCCACCAGCTCTGACGGTGACCCGACGGCGCCCGTCCGCCTAATAGTTTTGCAAGACCCCATAGCATGGTTATTGGGGAATAAAAAGAAACATGCATCAATAAATAAACAAAAATGCATCAACAAGTAAATAAACATGCATCAAAAATGCATCCAAAAAACATAGAAAGAAACGAGCAAAGGAAGGAAGGAAGGAACGAGGCAAGAAAGGAAGAGGAAGCAAGCAAGGAAGGAAGGAAGGAAGGAAGGAAGGGGGAGGCGCTGCGCCCTCCCCCGCACCCTCTCCCGCTTTTAATTGTTGAGCGTTTTCATTTCATTCATTTCATTTGTTCATTGACTCATTCATCCTTTCTTCCTTCTTTCTTTCATTTTCATGTTCATTTCATGTGATTTTACTGTTTGGGTTTTGTTATTTTGATCGCTGCTTCGAATGGATTATTGTTCTTCCCTCTGCACGTGTGGGTCCGTTTTTTTCTTTTTTCTTGATCACACTGACATATGTTTATTTTTTGATGCATTTATGTTTTTTTGTTGATCCCCCGCCCGTTAATGGAATATTGCTCTTCCCTCTGCACGTTTGAGTCCGTTTACGTTGTTTAATGTTTTTTTGATTCATTTTTGTTTTTTTTCTTGATCCCCTGAAATATATTTATTTTTTGATTCATTTTTGTTTTTTTATTGATCCCACAGCCGAGAACTGAGATAGACCTCACTTATTTGAACCACACATCGTGGCGTGGCATACCGCGTATACCCTCCCTGTTGACTGCCAGTGTGGCAGTGTCACAGAAACAAGGAGCTTGAGTTACCCAACCAAACGGATTTGGCAGTTCTTCTTGAGCGGGACACAATCTCAAAGGGAGGGAAGAGATTCCATTGAATGGGAATGTGCTAAAGAGGAGTTTTTGAGCGGGCACTGGAGCACCAAGCAATGGCACAGATTTAAGACGTTTCTGCATAGTCATCATATTTTCTTTCTTTATTTACGCATCGTTCTGAGTTGCACATCATTTGAGTGTCCTCTTGAAGATGCCCATCTTCTCCCAGGAAATTGCTGAGATCAAACAGCAGATTCAGAAGACTCAAGATGCAACAGCTGAGAAGGCGATGAGACATGATGTATCCCTACTACCCGGTTTGGAGGGTTACGGCTTAGGAGGGTTGAATCTTGGCATGCACTGTAAACACTGACGACAAGCACGAGATATAGCTTTCCCAGTATCAGCTAGGAAAAGAAGTGTAGTGTGATCAGCTGCTGTGATTCAATTTTCGTAACAATGATGGCCCTGAAAACCCTGACGGCTTCAGGAAAAAGACTGCTCATATGGCATGCATGCTGTGATCGAATTGAGCCAATGTGCACAATGGTGGCAATCAGGAAGAACATGAAACATGTAACATTTCCTTGACACATGTAAAGAAGCTGGAATCTTTAGTGCTTAGCTGTGACCTGGGTGGCTCTTTGCAGGATCGCGATGTAGACAAACTCTCTAATGACCTGGAGCAGTTTGGGGACCCAGCTCTCAAGCATTGGAGTCTGCAAGTGCGTCTTCCATATCCTTTGGTTGTTTGACCTCCAAGAAAAATCATGCCGCTCAACAGCCGTTGTGCATCCAGTTAAACTTGGTTGGTACTTGCTTGGTGCATAAAGGGTCCAGAAGGTGAAGTTGAACTTGTTATGCACGCCAAGGTGCAGGCCATACATTTGGAATATTGTGAAGCAGGGTGGCCCAGGAAGCGCCATCACATCCTCGCACACCTGACCAGGCCTCAAGCCCTGTCTACACTTAAGGGTCCCAAGTCGGTACGAGCAACATGGGCATCTTTGATTCTTCATTTTTGTTTCCTTCTTCGGAGAACAGCATACCATTTTCGCTTTTTGCTCTTCTTGCAACGGAGCATGTCTGATCAAGAACTCTACCGAGATCAGATCTCCAGAGTCCCCAGATGTCGATGTTGCGCAGCTGATCCCCGCCGGCATCGTGGGCCCATGATCTCCCACTGGATCCGCCTGAGGTTTCTAAAAGAGGAGATCCCAGGACTTGTTGAGCAGGGCTATGAGGGTGACCAGCCCTCCTTGAAGGCCGGGAGAGAAAAGATGGAGGCAATGGGAGGGGTCTCTTTCAGCAGCACACATTTGGACTACGATGGACTCTATATTTTGGTTTGGCATGACACGTTGGCATACTATATAGTATACCATGATATCTCCATAACAGCTGGCCTGCAAGGCCAGCTTGAGTTCCATTTTCATTTGATGTCAATTCTGGACTAAATTGACTAAATGATTGTAAAAGGTCAATGGATGAGGATAACGCATACGAATACGGACATGAAGTTCCACAAGCAACACATACTTTCTAGAGGGAATATCAAGGGTGTCCTCACATATCGTTTGCGTCAATGGCAAGCACCATAGGTCTTCGAAATGCAGGAATCAGGAAGTGTCAGCTTGATTTCGGCAGGTGTCTGCGCCCGACGAGCATGATGGTCAGATGTGGGGCATCCCAGGGCTCTGTCCAGTTGATTTAAGACCGCTAGTTGTTGCGGCCTTGGACTTTTGACCGATGCATTCAAGAAATTTGCTTCGGCACACCGAGCAGGCAGCAGCATTGTCGAATGTCACTTCTCTCTTTACTTTTTCTCAGAAGTTGGTCCAACAACTCCAATGTATCAGGTTGGAGGCCATCGCTTTTAGGTTGGAGGCCATTTTTTTTGCAGGAGCCATCACTTGATGTATGTCGAGGAGGTGTCGTCAGCCCGACCTTTGAGGGTTGACTCGGAGGGCTGGAAGCACTTGGGTCAGTCTTGGGTAATTGTTTGGGTCGAATTTACTTGTTGATCTCTCATGGATTCTGCAGACAGGTCAAATTCCTCATGATATTGAATACCCCCTCTATAGGGCTGTCCACTTCAAAAACTATCACAAACTATCTTCTTTCAGATTCTTTCAGAAAGGATCTCTCTGTCAGCTGTGCTGATTGGGGAAAAACATGTCATTGAGAATAACATTTCAAAACTTTTTGCCTCTTTCACCCCTTTGCACTGAGAAAAGAGAGGCGCTGATGCTCTTCCGCGCTTGCTTGGGTGGCGCAGATGCTCGACAGACGGTGGTGCCGGCCAAGGTGCGGCAGACAGGGGGACTTACGGATTCTTCAGAGTGGCCATCGGAGGGAGATTGGTTGGTTTGGGTTGGTGTTTTGATCTTCCAGTATTTCTGGAATGTCCACAAGACAAGAGGAGCCCTGTTTTGTGGGCGTGAGTGTTCCTGCTATGAAACGGAAGAACAGATAGTCAACAGAGTTCACATTGGAAGACATTATGCAAGTCGAATCCTAGCAATGAACTAACTCTGGAAGCATTGCATCAGCAGCATGTAGCTGTTCATGTCAGGAATTAACTTTTGCTTTGCTGTTCTGGCACGCAGGCGGCCGAACTGTGTCTCCTTTTGTGTCAGGTGCCTGCAGGCGGCCTGAAGAAGCCCACAGACTTGCCCTCAATGGCACACTTCTCCTTGGCGACCACCACGCAGATTGACGACGACGATGACGATGATGCGACTGGGCAATTGAAATACCTTACTGTCGAAGGTGGAGGTTTTCTGGCACCGGGAATCATCGGTTTCCGAATCCAAGGTGTACTTCGATCCTGTTGCGAGTAGGAGTCAAAGCTCCCATGCTGTTACTGAGTGTCACCCTCACCAAGGTCTAGGGCACTTGAGAGTTTGAGTACAATTTCTTTCCTCTATTGCCAAGGAAGCTGGAATTGATCAAGGGCCGGTACCTCAGAACGCTGGAATGAGCGGCGCTGCGGGGGAAGTGGGGACTCCTTGGGGACTTCTGGCAACCTGTGTGCTCACGGGTCTGTCATGCAATCGAGGAAAGTAGATCAACACTGTCGCTGTTTGTTGACCCTTTGGTCGAAGACCGACTGAGAGGAATGCGGTGCCGAGAGGTTGACACCTGTGAAAACATCAAACAGCTGCAAGTCCAAGAGCCAGCTAAGCGTGCCTCTGCACTGCATCGTGATGCACTGGCCCTGCTGAACATCACCTTCAGGGTACGACATTGCCTGAAAGACTTCGAGTGTCAGGGTCAGGCCTGGTTTTGAGTACACTGGAATGCGAGGTCTTCAGGGAATCCCAGGTGCTCAGATCGCGAAAACCAAATTATTGCATATGATAGAGACTTTAGGCTTCTGGCAGCACGGCTTTTCGACTGCAAAAGCCACCCAGTGCTTCCTTCCTCTTCGTGACACCCGGTCGATAAGCATTGTTCGGCACACCAGAACCTTTGTGCTCCACCCAAGGACCTGGAGCCGCACTGAGCTGCGCCACAAGGTGTGGGATTGGCTGAAGGATGGAGTAGCATGTGGGTCAGAGAAAAAGCATTGACCCGTTCCGCGACAAAGATGTACTGCATTGGGAAAGAGGATTTTCCTCAAAGAATAGTCAATGAGGGACTCGTAGCTGGCAGATTGCAGCTGCATTTTTAGTGGCATGTTTCTGCCGGAACGAAAGCACTGACCAGGGGTCACATCTTTGAGCAACCAAGTTCCGTGTCTTGGAGCGTTTGGCAATGTCTGCGTGTCAGCCGTTGGGCAACCTGCAGGCCATTGAGAACATCCGCCGACGCCGGAAGCGACAGCCTGGTCCAGGTGGGCCCAGGAGTCTCGACAGTTTGCATACACAAAGTTGTGAACAACATGACGTTCTTTTTGGGGTTGGAAGGTGAGAACCATTGAGAACCGTTCTTTGCAATACTTCTTTTGTGAGTCTGAGTTCTGTTCGGCGCGTTTGCAGTGAAATTTGCTGCACCTAGAGAAGGCATTTGATTCTTCTCTTTGCAAACGGACATCGAAAGGCTGTCATATCAGGACTTTTGAGTTGACCGTGAAGAAACGATACGGTCAAAACAAGGATGCCCCATGAAACATGCAGTACAGTATAGTACAGTCGATGTGCGAACTCTGCAAAACCCAAATCGATACCTGCAGCGTCCACGTCCTAACTTTAAACCAAAACAGCTCAATTGTTTCTTTCTTTGGAACATCGATTCATATGGAGATGAGATATATGGAAGCGTTCTTCTCGGAGACAATCCAACTCACCAAGTTTAAGGGGTTGACCAGACGGCAGTGACGACTCACGAGGACCAGAATGGCCTGCGTCATTATTGTGAAATCGATGTTCTTTGCTAGACCAATCAACCTAAGAGCGATGACCTCCAACCTAATAGCGAGGCCAAATCGACACTGATGTTCTTTGCTAGGCAGCAAGATGGCCGGGCTGGGTGACGAACGCCGGGTGGAAGAGGGCGATGACTCTGGGATGAAGCACCTTGGCCATTGCAGGGAACTGCCCCATGACATTTGTTCACGGTGAGCAAACAGATCACAGGGCTTCTCATTGAGTGCACCATCAAGTTGTATTCTGCCACAGCAGCCAGGATTCATTGTTGAGCACAACGGACGGAGGTGATTGACACAGTAGAAGAATCAAGCTGTCGTCATAAACCGCTTTACTCTGCCCAAGATACGAATAGCAACAAACAGCACGAACAAACTTTGTCCGAGTACATGCTGGACGGCGGGCTTGCAAGTGAAACAGTAATTACATATCATAAGATCTGTTGGATGGTTTGATGAACTGGTTTCTCGCCAAGGAGGGAAGCATCACTTCCGTCCAAGGAAACCCTCGCAGGCCTGGGCCATTGATTCTGTTAGCAAAAGGGTTTGTGAAGGCTTAAAAGAAGCACTGGTGTCACGGAATTCGGGAATTTGCTTTGAAACCATAGAGAATAGCGGAGCGAGTGCTGTTCCTTTTGACCACGCTGAACCAGGGGAATCTCAGTTCAGCAAGAGCCCTAGCGTGTGCGGGGGCCGAGAGGATTGGCATGCCTCGGCGGCCTCAACTATCCTATCTTGGTCATTTACCCAAGCTAGAATCTACTGGTAGAAGCTTATGTCAACTTCTTGTGAACTAGCTGGAATCAATGTCGTCCGGTGACTGGCGGTTTCAAACGGTTCAAGATGTTGATCGAGCTGTCACTTCTTAGAAAGATGATCGGTCCTTTGCCTCCATGGTGCACTCCAAAGTACGGCACAGTTGGAGCGGACTCTTGAATCTATAGAGATCCGAGTTTCTGATTGAACATGAAACCTCTCAGTTTCTCACTGGTCTCACCATCGGCCAAAAGCCTGAACAGGTCTGTGAGGTTCTGCTCAGTTGATTTGCCCACATGTTTGCGGTGTTTGCAAATGCTCGCAGGGTGGGTGGCAAGGATGAGGAGGCCCTGGTCGGGGGATGGTAGCCGTTTCACCAGGTGACACGCGTTAACTACCCAAAGTGGAAGAATGGGGGAGCACGGTTGTCCTTTGTAGAGCCTTTGCTTGGTTGGTACCCACTCTGATCATACCATATCATACCATTTGATAGTTGACATTCTTTGTGGACCTGGCCGCTCGGCCACCTGCGCTTGCTCGCTTGCTCGGCCTCTTCTCGCAGGCGGGTCGTGAAGAGATGTGGTGGCGCGGGGCCGGCCGCGAGAAGAAGAAGTAGCGAGAGCCGGCGGAAAAGCCGCTGGCGAGCGCCCCGGTGGAGTTGGACGGTTTGGAGCGGGCTTTCTGGTGGCCAGATGGATGGAAGGATCTCAGCCTATCTGAGGGTCACACATCATCACGACCTGAGAGACAAAGATAGAAGATAATGTTTGAGTCATTGCCGCAAATGGCAGTGCAGTATTATGCATCGTGTGTATTGGTCGAGCAGGTCAAGCCTTGTAGCTTTTCCGTCCAGATGTTGCACTATTGTAAGAGGGGTTGGCTGCTTTTTGATCCTACTTCCAATTTGTTTGAAACTAATCATAGTCAACATCAACACAAAAGTGTCGCGTCTTTCGCGGCAGAAAGGGCCATACGCAGTAAAGGCTAATTCTCCTTGTGGATTATATATCCCTGAGAGATCTGTCGAGCCATCTCTTTCTTTTCATTCTTTCGACTTGGCGAAGGCACAGAACCTGTCAGGACCCGTCAGAACCCCTCCTTTCTTCATGTGGTCACCAGCCGGGCCAACGTGGATTGGCAGCCTGCCGGGGGCATTGGATGGTGTCCATTGGGTGCTGGTCGTCTGCCAACGTAGGACTTGCTTGTTGTCCAAGGCAAGGGCTGAGATTGAGAGAACACCTTTGCAATGCAACAGACATTCAAGGGCACTCAACAGCGCACCATTCTCTCAACAGTTGGGCATGCAATTGAGACTGATTCTCCTCTGCCAGCATTTGCTAAAGGCAAGCAATGGTCATTTGATCTTTGCTGATGCATGTAAAACTTGCGTGCGAGTCGGCAGGGAAAAAAGAGCTTTTTGTCTGACGCATTTGGCATCTTTCGGAGACCTCCAGATGGTTGTGTTTTGTCCACTGGTTTTTTCGAAGACTTGGAGTCTTGGAGCCTGAACACCGCGACATACAGTACAGCTCACCGCAGCTTCCAGCTTGGGTCCCTCGAAAAAGCGCCGACGTCGTGAGCACAGGGCCGCGCAACCAAAGCTCAGCTGGGAAGACCTTTTCGACCTAATAGTCTCAACTCGTGCGAAACTTACAAAGAACCAGGCAAGCCAGCATTTGAGGCGTCCCGGTACTTTGGCCACCCTTTTGCAAGTGACGGAACTGGTCAATTTTGACATGAATTCCATCATGAATCCTTGTGACATCTGGATCCCAGCCAAGATTGTTGGACAAGACATGAAAAGACTAGGAGCAAGGACGCTACTAGGAACAAACGGCATCGCTCTAGGAGCAAGGACACTGCTTATTGGACATTTTGTTCCCACCGGAGCGACTTGACATGGCGTCTATTGCTTTGCGGAATGCTTTGAAACGAAGCTTGTCAGGGAGGCGGGCGGTGCAATCAAGGGGCCAATGTTGACACTGTTTTCAGGGTATCCGGGACCCTTATGTTACGAGGGCGCGTGTCAACTTTGCTCAGGCAACACTCTCGATTTGAAGCTTCTTCAACCAGTCAGAACCACCACCATCAAACCAATTGATGCAACCAAACATTCAGCACGCTTTTGTCCATAGCGAGTCCTTTCCGGTGCCTTCATGTGCTTCCCATGCCCTGTCGATGTAAGCCATTCTTTTGCTATTCGTTTGCTTTCTTCGCCGTGGAGTGGTTGATGCATCATCTCCAATGTGAGGACTACATCTCGAGTCAAACAATTGAATACCAGGCTGGCCCCCTGCTTGGGCATCCGCTTGCGAGAACTTCCGCAGACCAAGGCGCCAAGCTGATTGAAGTTTCCCTTGTGCTAGACCATCTGCAGGAAAGGTTCTTGGTCCTCTCAGTCATGGCAGATTGACTCCCTAGTAACTGGTGTCCAATGGTGTCGATCCATTGTTCCCATGAACACCAGGTGGGCTCACGAACACGTGCTGTCCACGATCAACCGAGCCAAACCGAGCGGCCGAACCGACTCAGGGCTGCTGCCGAAGCACCGAAAGATCCAACTCCACCGCCCGCAAGGCCCAGTGGCGGAGCGGTGCACCGTGCCGAAGCGACCCGACGCGGTGACCGGTGACCATCAGGCCGTCCAGGAGGCCGCCAAGATCCCCCGCGAGCGAAACCGGAACTTCAGCGGCTTGGAGAAGTTGACGGCCCGGGTGGGCCAAGCATGGCCAAGAAGTAGCAACAAGAAGCTACTAGTCAATGATAGTCAATGAGTCAAAGGTGTGTGTTGAAGGAATCTATGACTGCTGTAGGCCCGTGTGTTGTAGTTCCATGGCTAGGGTACCTAGAGCATCCTAGGAACCGGCCTTTTTGCTGAAGTGGCTGTCCATTCAATAGCGGTGCGTTCCGGTTTTGGTCGGCGCAACGAGGTGAGACACGATTGGGAAATGCTCCTGCCTTGCAATCTGACTAATCCAAACTTTCTTGCTGCCAGCATTTCCCAGATCCCAAGCTTTCTTACGTGGAGATGTCTCCTACAATGGGATACCAGATTCCAGAGAAGACTGAGACGTGATGAAGTGGCCCGGAGAGAAGAATATCTGGAATTGTCTGGCTGCGCTGAGGTATCATTGCTCATGTCGATCATGGCAAGAGCACTCTTTGTGATCGGCTGCTGCAAACTTGTGCCTTGGCTCCGGTGGTGGACCTTCCAACACGGGCATGGTGCGATGAGAGTGACAAGGCTCTGCTTTTTCGTGGTTGCAATTTTTTCGTGGTTGTGCGAACGCTTTGGTGGCGGACATTTTTGGCAAACTTTGAGCTGATAGGTGATTGGAGCTAGAATGCCAAAAATGTGAAGAGCTCTCTGGCGCGAGACTTTGATTTAAGGTGGCGTGCTACCACCCAATGCCCCGGACCAGTTCCTGGATGGCCTGGAGGTGGGTGCAAATATCGAACATGGGAGGACTGGACTGGTACGCTCCGATGGGGTAGGTAGATCCAGTGTGGAAGCTTTTATATACGCTTCTCGACATTCACGGCGTAACCGGGTGTATTTTTGGAGCCAAATCTGTGGACTGGAAGGATGACGGAGTGCACATGTGCAACTCGAGGAAACCAGACACATTGACAGTTGAGCAAGCAGTGCTTTTCAGTGCTTTCCATTTTCAATTTGACAGGCCAATTGATGCTCCTTCTCTAAACATTCCCTGTCCACCCTTTTAGACACGCACATGGCATTGTCGTGCTTCACGAGTTGGCTGCCTGGTTTTGGTGCTATCCTATCGATCTCAGGTCGCGTTGGGAGGCGGCCTGAACCCTCTTGGATGAAAAACATGCTTTCTCAAAGCAGTTGGTTCACGTGGCCTTCACTTTGGTAGAAGATCTGGCCTGACTGGGCTTGTTTTGGCCGGTCACAGGTGGAGCGGGCACGAGGCATTACGGTCAAGGCGGGACACGGTCAGGGTGCAGCAGCCGAGGCCCTGCCTAGGCCCTCAGGCCAGACTCCAGACTCCTTGTACTCTTTGGAGTCACACTCTCAAGTCTTGCCTGCTTGGAAGAGCCGACTTTCAGCAGGACTTGTATCATATTGTATCCAAGCTTTCAGAGGAATTGAGTCCCACCTGAGTCTACATGATGTTGCGATTTGGGCTCAAGAGTACTCCAGGACTTGGATTGATTGTGAACCCACACGCTTCCGATGCGGCTGTTTCGATATGTCCTCTTTGTGCTCCTAGGTGTCAACCAGGCGCAGGTGGTTGATGTCCTGACAAAGGTGAAAACTTTTAGGGACTCAGGCCTGGCCCTTCTCGATGGTCTTGCTGAAGAGTTGAAAAGCAAAAACGAGGAGGCCTTGTCTGAGAAGACCAAGAAGTTCCGAGAGGATTGGCTGAGTGTCCTGGGAGTGCACAAAGGCCTCACAGGTTTGGCCAAGGATTTCACCATGAACTATTTTGGTCGAGAAGCCTACCACAGCGTGAATGGTCCCTTGGTGGATGCCATTAAGGGGGCCTCGGCAGCGCTGGGCAGGAATCCGGATGCAGCAGCATTTCAGCAAGCTTTGAAAAAGGTTTGCTTTGAAGGGAAGCGGATCTTCCAGGCGGGAGGTTCTTTGCACGAGATGCTCTCTGACTTATTAGAGTTGCTGGATGATAAACAAGTGAAAAAGGCACTGCCAGCTGCGTTGCGCGGAAGCCAGCTTATAGATGCATTGAACTACTTCGCTGGACCTCGAGAAGAAGCACACCAAGAAGAGCTCTAGGAGGAGGCGTCACACCTGCAAGGTCTACACTGCACAAAGATGCAATTTGTGCCTTTGCGAAGCGGGATAAAAGGCATTTTCAACTCAAACGGCACCTGGAATGGCCAAGCAAAAGCAGACATGTCTTGGGCAGGCAGACTTAAAGAATGCATAGACCCGATGTGCACACTGTGTCTAGGCGCAAACCTGCTCTCTGCTGGTGACCTCGGAAACGGATGGTGGGGTAACTCAGATCGGTCACACGCGGCGAAGAGAGACCCGTTCAAAGGTCCACCAACCTCAACTGTATATGTTGATGATGCAAGATTCTTTCTGGTTTCGTCAAGAATTAAAGTGAGCAACATCAGTAGACTTTGTTTAGCAAGGAGTGAGTGATACCAGATTGTGTGTTCAAAACCCAATAGTGCGATAGTGAATCAGGTTTTGCAAAAAACATGGGGCCTGTAAGCAGTGCCTAGGACATTGCGTAAGAACACAGTACTTGTACCACCCTTTTGCACGCGCGCAGGCTTGGGATACTGCTTGAGTGGACAATATTGGGTCCGTGCGAAGATTGCACATGAGCAACCCAAATGAGAGACTCGCAACATTTCTTGGTGTCAAAGGAAGAGAATACGCACGCACCAATGGATGACGGGAGAATACTGAGGAAACCTTTCCTCATGTTTGAGAAGAACTGAGGCCAAAATTACTTGCTCAATCTCATTGACACCCCCGGGCACGTGGACTTCTCTTACGAGGTTTGCCTGCGCACTGGATTTAGTCTTCTGCTGGTGCTGGAATGCTGGATGCAGATATGCACTCTATCCCATGCAGATGAGCATCTTTACCGCTCAAGATCATTTGGCTCGAGCGCCCTCGCATGCACTTCGCTCTCGAGCTTCTACGAGAGGCTCGGTGGTTTTGGCCTTCTCCCGCTTCGTGTGGAGGCGGCATAAGCTGGGCTCTGGCGCTCCTGTGCTGCATTCTGGCCTTCTGCATAGGCTGTTGTTGTGGGGGGACAGTTGTTCTATTCTCCCTGTCCTCGCGGCTGCGGAAGGCCGTTTTGTGGTTGGTGGCAGGGTGCGCATCGAGTGCACTCCAAGTTGATCCTGCACCCGCGACTGAGGTGGTCCGGCGGCGGTTGGCCCAATACCGAGGTGATTAGTGTATGCTCCCCAAAGACTCGGAGGTGGACGAACTCGCTCTCGAGGTTGGTCAACTGAGGATTAGGGTTTCCAGGCGAGAGGGCTATAGCGGCTCACCTTTACGAGTCAGTGCTTCAGCTTCCTCACAGCCTTCCAGTTCACAGCTCCCCAGCCAGGGTTCCCTTGCAGGCCCTGAAGGGGCCACCGGGCCTGTGGCCCAAGAAGACGGAGTGAGCCTGCATTCTTGGTCGGAAGTTGGACCAGGGCAAGAGCAATTCCGTGCAGCGCCTTGGACTCAGGAGTGGTTTGAAGCGCTGGCCATTGCTGATTCACCCTCAAGCCTGGAACAGTTGGACTTGTCGCCCATTGCTTATTTGGAAGCAAGGTTGAGGACAACAAGTGCTGGGTGGTCACCACGGGCGAGGCTAGCCCGGGCTCTTCGGGCAGGTGTGCTCGCCAGGCATTGGCTGGACAACCGGCCGCTTGAGGCCGCAAACATCGGGGGGCCGACTTTGCCCTCGAGATTCTATATCGTGCTCAAGGCTGGGCCTGGTCTCGAGCCTGGCTGGACCGCTGATTATACCACCTACCTGGCACAGGTGTGCCGCCGGCCTCACGTCTTCTGGCCGGGAACGATCAGTCAAGCATTTGCATCAAGAGCTGAGGCAGACGCCTACCTGCTTGGCGCCCAAGAGCCATGGCCTCGGGCGCTTCCGCTCCGCCCTTGACAGAGAGTGCTGTGCGGGCTCTGTTGGACGACACCCCTCCGACCGGGCCCCTGCCAGGGGTGTTTTTGGTGCTTCCAAATCGGGAAGATGGTTCTGGCCTCCGAGCTCTCGGCACGCTGATCAGGGTTCGTGCAGGCGGCTTTATGGTGGCCCTTCCCGACCTTGGCGAGGTCGCCGAATTTCTGCAGTCTCTGACCTCGGAGGAGGGTGCAGAAGATCTGATAGCCATGTACACCACCGAGGTCGAGATGGAGACCATCCGAGGAAGAGGCCTTCAAGTTGGACCTTGCCTCTTAGCAGATGTGCTCTGGACTTTCGTGGGGCACTTCAAGAAAGGTCATCCTTTGCGGAATCCGTCCGCCTACGAGGTCCTCCACTTCACCCAGGGAGGCACTGCTTGTCGCCCTCGGCGTCCCGCCCTGCTGGCGTGTTCGGAGCAATGGATCCACGAGATCATGGACGACGACACTGCCGGCGACTATGTTACTGGCGAAGACGAGATGTGGCCAGAGCCCGCTGCTTCACTGGAGGATCCTCTTTCTCCGGGGGAAGATGTGGCGGCAATGCAGCGGCGAATCACACAACTGGAAGCAGTTCTCCAGGCTCGACCTCCTCCCCCTCCGGGAGGCACCTTTGCTCAGGCTCCAAGATCTGGCCCTGCTCCACCTCGAGGAGTTCTTTTTGGAGGCTTGCCAGCAAGCAGCCATCAGGTGCCCCCTCAAGATGCCGTCGAGAGGCTAAGAGCTTTGGCTGGCGTCGCACCTGTGAGGCTGGGCGCACACGAACGTGCCACCAGAGAACAACGCCCGGAGAGGATTCTAGAGTCGTTGCAGCAAGAGGCCGCCGAACCCGCAGAGCTCGAGGAGGGCATTACAGAGCTGGAGGCAGCGGTGTCAGATCCGCTCCAACGCACGCTGGTGCTTCAGATGAAGCAAATGGCCTTGCTGACCCGCCAACAGACCCAACGCCAGCCGCTGGACCCACTTGCTGCCGCGTTAGCTGGAGGTTCAGACGGGCAAAACACGGGCAGTGGCAGTGTCAAAGGCTGTGCCGCCAGAGAGGCTTATCTGAAGGTGATGCAAGACCACGGCAAAGTGGCTATGGTCGTCATGGACCACGCTTGTCGGGAGCTGGGTTTGGAGAGCAGTCAGGTAGGCCCAGGACTCATGAAAGAATACATCGAGAAGAAGTGCCCGCTCGGGGACAACCGCCTGTTGACGCAGCAAGCGTACCTCTGGGCCTTCGCCTGGGAGACCGGCTTCCGTCTGAACGATGTGGTGTTGATGGGGGTCGCCAGCCGGGGCCTTTTGTTCATCGACCAAGCGGCCACGGACTACGGCAAGACGAATTTGGCTTGGCTGCTCACAGCCTTGCCAGATCCCCAATTCAGCATCGTGCAAAGGAATCGGCATCGCCAGAGTCTGACTCCTTACAGCCGGCTGGCATCTGCCAGCTGGGTGGGGGCAAATGTAGCCTTCATGAAGGATTTGGATTACCTCGAGACGAAAATCAAGAGCACGAACAATTTCAGCCTCACCAAGGACGACAAGGGGGGCGGAGAAGACACCGCCCCCACTCAAAGGAAGACACCATGGAAGCCAAAGAGGAAGAAAAAGGAAGAGAGCGATGCGAGCTGAAGCCTGTGACCGCTGCTTCACGGTCGGCGCACCCCTCCTGTCCCCCCTTGCCGACCTCTTCTTTGCCAGAGCGGAGGAATTGGATTCCTACTGCTGTCTTCGGTCGGGGGAGACTCGAGGGTGGCACAGCTGACATTTCCAAAGGTGAAGCCAAGGCGGAAACTGGGGGCAGTTCGAGTCAAGTGAAAGGGAAGAAGCCTTCATGCGGACCTGGGGCACGTTTGAACCCTCAGATCAAAGGAGAAACCTTCCCGCAGCCAATTAGGTGCATCGAGTTGGTGGCTGCTTCACTGAGGACGTCCTTGGCGTGTCCCAAGCTAGGGTCGTTCATCCAGAGGAGTCTGACGCCTTGCCGCAACGCTTCAAGTTCAGGTCACCCTAGTGGCGACCTATGGCCGTGTCCCCCACCAACCAGTGGTTGTTGGACACCTGCCAACTTAGTTTCTCCGCGCCGGCGGAGGCGCCAGCGGTTCTATCGTGCGAGAGCTTTGTGCCTGCAACACCTGGTGATAGCTTTGAATTGGATGAGTTTGGGTTGCTGCACCTCACCTCCTGAGCGCGCCCGGGTCGGCTACCCGATGACGCCTGCTCAGCAGGACACGCTCGAGCGGCTTGAGGATCTGATAGATTACTTCCTGAAAGGGGAGGATGTCTCCTATGATTCCTTGGGCAGGGCCGGCGAGAAGCTAAGCAAATTGAGTGCGCATTCGTTTTCGCTTTTTGAGTCATCGTGTTCATTGAGCCTTGGTGACATTAGTAGTTTTTTAAGATCCATCCATGCTTCATTTGATGCATACTCGAAACCACGTTCAAAGACACCCCAAAGTGGCCAACAAGATGCTGGAGAGCCCCAGGATTCAGAGATCGAGGCAGCAGACGTGCCCCGGCCAACGAGACCTGAAGTCAAGATCCCAAGCAATGCCTGCCAAGCTAAAGCTGTTCAGGCCTCTCGAATAAAGTGGAAGCTTGCACCATCTTTTGACCCTCGTCCTTTTTTAAGTGACGGCATTGTTCGGCGGGCCTTTGAGGATCCTGATTTCTTGAGGAAGCCGGAGGGGCTCTGGCCTCGTATGGCGAAAGCGCAGGTCCATGCCGCCCGAGATGAGGTATTGGCACTAGCATCCAAGTGGGACGCCCTGGGAGCCTGTCAACTGGTGAAGAAGGAAGAAGTTCGAGCTGATGAAACAGTTGGCATGTTCGCCGTCCCCAAGGACGACGAGTTTGACAGGTTGATTCTTAATCCAACTGTTGTGAACTCCCGTAGCTACCCGTACTCCCGATTCACCAAAACGATTGCTCCGGGGTATCTCATTGCCCTGATTCAACTTGCGCCAGATGAGCGCTTGGTGTGCTCCTCGGATGACCTGTGCGAATTTTACTATACGTTCAAGGTCTCTGACCTGCGAGCAAGAAGGAACGCCATTGGTACTCCTTTCAAAGCTGAAGAACTTGCTCACTTGACTTGTTTTGATGCCACCAAACATAAGGGTGAGTTACTTGTGTGTTTGGCGACGCTCGCAATGGGAGACTCCTTGGCTGTTGAGATTGCACAGCAAGCGCACGTCAACTTGCTGAAAAACAAGGCTGGGTGCATGCGCCCAGAGGAGTGTTTGCTTTATCGACAGCCCATTCCCAGAGGCTCCTTCTTTGAGCTCCTGACGATTGACGACCACATAGGGCTCCAAAAGTTGAAGGGTCATTCTAGTGAGGACGGTCGTGCAACCAGGGACCTCGCAGTTTTTACAGCAGCAAACAAAGCCTATGAAGACGTGGGTTTGACCGCACACCCAGGGAAGAGGCAGCGTCGGGTCGCTCACACCACAGTACTTGGCGCTGAACTTGATGGCTCACGAGGCAGAGTATCTGCTCCCCGAGGGAGGATGGCCATGCTGTGTTTCATCACTTCAGTGGTCGTGCAGAAAGGCATTGTGACCAGAAAACTTCTTCAAGGGCTAATTGGCTGTTGGACACACGTGTTACTCTTCAGACGACCAGCATTTTCAATACTAGACAGAGCATATCACGAAGGTGCTGAATTTCATGAAGACCTCGTGTTTCACATGTCAAAGCAGTGCAGGGCTGAGTTGATGGTCCTTTGTTTGGTTGCACCCACTTTTCAGACCGACATGCGGGCAGGAACAGCCCCTTTTGTCTACATGCTTGATGCATCACCGTTCGGTGGGGGTATCTGCCGAGCAGCCATGCCGTCAGTTGCTGTTGGTGAATTCTGGAGGCACTCGGAGCAGAGAGGGTTCTATACAAAGTTGCAGCAGGGAGCTGGGTTGGCGTTGAGGGAACTTGGGCTTGAGCATTGCGAGGCATTTGGAGAGTCCGAATTTGCAACCCAATCCGTTGTTGCCCCTTTACCCGACAAGCTCGTTCGGTCGTTGCGTGACAATACAGTCGTGTTTGATTGCGTCGAACTGTTTGCAGGTGTTGGTAACTGGAGTCAAGCTCACGCTCGCAGAGGCTTGAGAGTTCACCCTGGGATCGAGCGCTCTGCAGTCGGGCGTGGGTATGGTGACCTTTTTGACAATCAGACGTTCAGGGACCTTGCCAAGCTTGCATCAACCGGTGCCGTTCGAGAATGGCATGCCGCTCCGCCATGCTGGTCTTTCGGTACGCTTAGGAGACCGCGATTGAGGTCGAAGCATTGTCCCGCAGGTTTCGACCCGGCGGATCCGGTAACTAAAGAGCAGACACTTCTTGCAGTTCGAACGGCGTTCATTTTGTTTCTTGCTTTCACTAGTGGCTGTTACATTTCTTGTGAGCAGCCTGGTGGATCGGTCATGTTCTTGTTGGACGTCTTTCAAAGGCTGTTAGAGGCTGGTTGTTATATTACCAAATTCTGCTTCTGTTCATACGGATCTGGTTTTCAGAAGGCTAGCAAATGGCTTCACAATAAGCCTTGGTACAAGCTGTTAGGTGGCTCTTGCACTTGTCCTTTCAGGGGTCGGCATTTTACAGTTCAGGGGACCTTTACAAGACAGAGCATTGAGTTTTTTGAGACTAGATGTCGGCCTTCAACGTCGGCAGTGTATGGGAGGAGACCCAAACCTGGTGACGCCGTAAGCGCTTACTCGGCCAGCTATCCGATTCCCTTGTGTGAGGCAATGAGCGCTGGCAGTTGGAAGGCGCATCAGACTGGCGGTTCACGGGCAGATGAGGCCTCTTCCGACGAAGCGACTGACCGGGAGGTCTTTGACGCACAGACTGGTTTGCGCCCATGGCATGACGATCCGGAGTGGATTGAAGACCTCTGTGAGGGGGTCGAGTTCAAAGAACTGTTCCGCTACCGCTTCAAACAGTCTGGGCATATTAACTGTCTTGAATGTCGGGTGTACAAGTCGTGGTTGAAACATGCTGCCAAAACACATTGTCGAAGTCGTGTGTTGGGATTGTTGGACTCACGCGTGACAATGGGAGCAGCTGCAAAGGGGAGGAGCAGTAGCCCGGCTCTAAGTCGGATCCTGCGTGGAACACTAGGCTATGTGCTTGGAGGCTGCCTTTACCCAGGCACGTTACACTGTCGTTCTCAATGGAATAGAGCTGACGGCCCGTCCAGAGACAGTGCCGTGCCTGGGCCGTCCAGGCCAGAGCCTCCTTGGTTGGGTGATTTGCGCGAGGGCAAATTTGACTTGTTCGATCGCATGGTCGAGTCTTGCACTTGGATACGTCCGCTTGGTCGATGGTACCGCTTGCTCCTGTTGATCGCTGGTGATGTTGAACAGAACCCCGGCCCGTTGACCTCAAAGGGGCTACAAGCTCGGGGTGATCTTAACTTGCTCGGCGGGTTTGCGCGTGCGACCTCTGACAGGATGGCAAAATGCTTGAAGGCCTTTGCAGCCTGGTGTGAAGCCCATGTGGGCCTTACATTGGAGCAAGTGTTGGACAAAGTTGAGACCACCGATTTAGCCCTAAAGGCATACGGTTTGAACCTCTTTAAGCAAGGGTCCCCACGCTACATGCTGGTGTATGCCATTACGGCTGTTCAACAGGTGAAGCCAGAATTTCGGCGCCACCTCAGTGGCGCCTGGCAGGTGGACAAGAAATGGCAGCTTGAAGAACCAGGGTCTTGCAGGGCAGTTCTTTCAGCGCCTGTGTTCCGGGCCATTGTGGCCTTGGCGTTGTTGTGGGGGTGGCAGAGTTTTGCAGGACTTGTCGCGCTAGGATTCGGAGGCATGCTTCATCCGAATGAGTTCATTTGTTTGAGGCGACGTGACGTCATTTTTCCTGAAGACACCTTGTTGGAGCAGAAAGCATTGTACATCTTCATTCGCAATCCTAAGACCGCCAGATTTGCACGAAAGCAACGCGTGAGGATTGATGATGAGTCGATACAACTTTTGGTCAGATGTGTCTTTGCGCATGTGGAACTTGAGTCGCCTCTGTTCAGCGCTTCAATAGCCGTCTTCCGGCGCCAGTGGAACGCGATTTTGGACCGTCTTGAAGTGCCCCGGCGACAAGCCGAAGGCGGTGCTACGCCGGGTACCCTCCAAGGATCTGGCGCCACTCACGAATACCTCCAGTCGACTGATATTCAAAGCATCCAGTGGCGTGGTCGTTGGAATCAGCTTCGAACGTTGGAGCATTACATCCAAGAGGTCGCTGCGCAATTGTTTCTCTTCAATTTGTCAGTGACCGCCCGGACGCGAATCCTCGATTTGAGTTCCAATCTTGGTTGCATTCTTCAGTGGTTGTTTCCATCTGATTTTCAGACATTTGTTGCACAGCAGGAGGTTAGGAGTGGAAGTTGACAACAACATTGGTTGAGCATTGAACAAATGTTGAGCATTG